GTAAAAATTTGGGTAGCACTCCCTTTAGAAAGGAGGACTTCCCAGATTTGTACTAAGTCAGATATGAAAGCAGAATTAATCTCTAATTATGGAAAATCGAATTTTGTCTAACTCTCTGAATTAGTAGAAATTTGGGCAGCACTTCCTCTAGAAAAGTGTTCTCCCAAAATTTATACAAAGCGAGGTCCAGAATTTAAGAATAACTTTGACTTCTGAAAGTCCAATTTTGTCTAACTCTTGAATTAGTAAGAATTTGGGCACCACTCCCTCCAGAAAATGAGACTTTCCATATTTATACTAATCCATATATGGAAAAGACAAATTGAACTCTGACAAGTCAAAAGTTGACTCACTTCTGGGATTGGTAGAAATTTCGGCAGCGCTTCCCGTAGGAAAAGTAGCTTGCCAAGATTTATACAAAGCGAAGTATAAGAAAATATCTAAGAAAATGCAGGAATTAACCTAGGTAAAAAAAAAACGTTATTACAGAAAATGCAAGAATCGACACTAACTCCAATGGCTCTAGCACGTGACGAGCAACTACAACAATTACCTATAGTAATGAAACCCAAACAAACTAGTCATCCCATCTAGTCACATGCAAACCAAACCACGAATGTAAGTACTCTCACCCTTCCAAGTTCATTCCATATAAATAGTTCGTGAATCTTCAAGTTCTTGAATCCTTATACCCATCTTACATAAGACATAGAGCTGGACCATTCGCCATGGAAACAATGCCCAACTTGTCTTTATGATATACACGAACAGGCTGCAGAACTACTTGTTTTTTCTTCTTTTGGGCAGATGACTATGCAATGTAATGGAAACAATGCCTAGTGGCCCTAAGCTGTTCAATATCCAAAGTTTTAGTATTTCTCTGACTTTGTTTTCAAAAGAAAAAGCAAATATGGGCAGGGGACTGAACCATTCACAGTAGAAATAATGTTCAGTTTGCCCAAACTATTTCCATTTATACTTTGTATTTTCTTTTTTTCTCTTTTTAATCATATGGCTTAACGCTGGACCATTAACAGTAGAAACAATGCCCAGCTGTCAGTTCACATGCAAATATACATAAAATACTATCCTTTATACTTAGTTTAGATTATGTGCGTGGTTTTCAGGCCAAACCATTCACCATGGAAACAATGCTTAGCCTTAGACCAAAAAATCCTCCCTCAGAATAAACAAGAATTTAAACCCCTTCAATCAGACAACCCTTAGAGTTAACTAAGGTAGCCAGACCATTTACAGTAGAAACAATGCCTGGTTCCCCAAAAAACAATCAAATAAACAGAGCGACCAGGCCATTCACAGTAGAAACAATGCCTGGTCCTTCAGAAAACACCCAAATAAACATAGCCCTGAGCCATTCACAGTAGAAACAATGCTCAGGCTTTGGTTGACCCGATCAAACGCATGCAGTCTACCTTCCTTCCACCTTCCCCCAATTCATCCTTAGTCTGCTTTCAATCAGAACAAAGTAGAAACTTAGGCTTACTCTCACACATTCTTTCCAGTTGGTCTGATTAAGTCCTGAAGAGAAAGCAAAAACCATAGGGACAAACGCATCCATACAACAGTCATACTGCAGGGAGATAGGCAAACATGGGTAGAAGTGGGGTTTATACAGATAAAGACGATTTACCTGAAGGTTCCCTGCATCCAGAACTCCTCCGAAGTTTCGGCAGAGCTCCCGCAATCGGTGGGTAGACTCCCCACAGAGTCTTGACGCGGACTTACGGGTTGCAATCCCGCTTGCCGCCTTCCTCTCGTAACCAAGGACTAGACTGAGAGTAAGAAGGGCAGAAAAAGAAGGATGTGAGTCTCTCAGATCCAAAAGTGGTACTCTCAGTCTCGCAGGAGAGGGCCTTGATATCTGGGTGCGCCTGAGGGCCCCGCAATGGTAGCCAAATACATACAGTCGTTGACTCTTCAGCAACTCTCTGAATTCGCAATGATGCTACTTTGCAAAGCTTCATTGTTCAGAGTGCACTGGCCTCAACTCAAAACATAAGGTGTGAATCAAGAACACTCTCCCCCTTCGTATCGAAATAAAGCAGCAGCGGATGTACCAAGTTGCCGCAGCGAACCGATCAGGCTCAGTCACCGTTCGGGCACCCACTAGCGAGATCCTTGCCTTTGTTGCTAGTCCCCCGAGCCTGACGTATGTAGACTGGGCTTGCAAAAGTAGCCTCCCGTTCTAAACACTAACCGTAGATTCCCACAGCCTTATGCCCACAATCAGGCATCCTCCTCGGCTCTTGCCCTCCCGCCTGGCAGGACGAGCGATACTCCTGCGAACGGGGATGCTCGTCTTTCTGGCCCGATGTTGCCTTAGCCAACGAGATGGGCAGCCTTTTGGGCCACCAGCAGCCTCCTGGCCTGCAACTCTTCTGCTGCTGCTTCTGTCGAACTTGGACGAGCGTCGCACCAACCAACAGGTAAGTTTCCAAGCTTGCAGCCTTCTCGTAGCTGCCTCGCTTGATCCACAGGCCGTAACCTTCGTCTCACCCGGCTCGTCTCGCATG